CCCACCACTCCTAGAAAACACTGAAGACATCAATACATTCAATACATTCTCCCTTCTGGTAATAAGCTAGAATATGATTTGGAATTATTGTTGCTATCTCATACTGATATGTCAACATGTATAAAGTGTGTGCCTCTTGAAATGTTACATCATTTCATACTTGCGGCCCATCGCGGATCGGATAAGCATGCATAGTTTTTGTGGCAGGCGCAGCACGGTCAGATGTCCACACCCACTAAATTTAGAATCTAAATTGGTGTGGAAACCCAATCGCAAAGGGTGTCTCATTTCTCATGTCATACAGGTCAAGAGGTGAAACTTTCCAACATGCCAGTATATAAAAATCGAAAGTGCACAACGCAGAATCATGCGCGGGTAAAGCCATGTTTCTGCCTTTAAACTCTCTCCCTGTCCTCATCAGAGCCCCAAAGGCCCTGGGCCATGCAATCCAAGCGCTTTTGAACCTCCACAATGGCCTTCTGTTTTTGCGACAACTCTTGGGTCTCCTGCACTTCAAATCTTCTGTCTTTTGCACCCGATATCACACATCTCAAAGCAAAAGGCGCCCGAAACCCTCTTTTTCCGGAAACATGTTCGTTGTTTCGTGTGGTCATACGACCACTTCACCCGACGCCAACCACTCGCGGAGCAATGCGATGATGCGCTGCCTGGGCGGATTCCAGCGCGCAAAGGGCCACAAAGAGCTGTAAAGTCTGGAAAAAATAGGTCCGGTGCTAAACATCATTTATTGGTAAATCAACTCAAAAGAATAGTTTGCCCTTCTTCAATCATGTTGCGATTCGCATCTACCGTCTTCATCAGTAACTGTAACTATTTGGGTTAAAGCTACATTTTGACATCACAATCATCACAAGGGGAAATTACGAATCAATTAAACACCTTAAGTCTCTCATGCCTACCAAAGCAAACAACTACTGTCCACGACGGTTGGCCCGAGAGCGAGACATGTAATTGTCCAGCACCGTCGAAAAGATGTATAGAAAGAGAGAAAGAGAGGGTGGATGTGAAGGAGTGACAGCGTGATGCGCGGGTGCGATATAGATCTGTAGATGTATGGAGGTGGAGAGGTAGATCTGTGGATGTGAGCGTGCGAAGATGTAAATGCACAGAGACGAGAGAAAAGATATGTAGAAAGAAAGAAAGACAGGACAGATGTGAAGGAGCGACAGTGTGGATGCACAGATGTGATATTGATGTGCAGATGTGTGGGTGTAGTGAGATGGAGAGGTAGATCTGCGGAATATGTGAGCGTGTGAAGATGTAAATGTAGAGAGGTGAGGGGGTGTAGACGTAGATGCGTCGATGCAACGGCAGTGCAACGTCAACCTTAGTTGCGCAAGTACAACGCTGAAGAGGTTCAAATAGAACTGAAGAACGTACATTTCACACTGAAGTTTCCACGAACAGGGCGACCTGAGAGTAAACGACGTCACGATCATGACAAGCGACTCGTGTATTCCAAGCGAACATCGTGTGTGAAGGTGAAGTACACACATACTAACGTCACGATGACTCTTTTGTGGCAGCCACTTATGAGTAAGCAAAGTAGCTAAAAGTTGTCAACCTGTCAAGAGAGCCGGGCGGTCGGGAGACATGACTCAGCTGGAGGGGCGCCAGAGCGCCCGCGAGAGATGACTCAGCCGCGAGAGATGACTCATCCGCGTACTAAAGTTGTACTACAAAGTCGCCAGTTCTCAGCTTCCAGCTCCACAGCTTGCTCCGCGTACTAAAGTTGTACTACAAAGTCGCCAGTTCTCATCT